GATCATACCTTACTAAGTCGTGGCCATGACTTCATTACCTTGTTCCCATGCCTTACTAAGTCATGGCCACGCATTATTTTTATTTATACAGGATGTTAACAGCAGGGCTCTGTAAAGGTGTATAAAATACATAGATAAGTAAATATTTATTTCTGCCCTAGTAACGCGTGCTCAGACTGGACGTTGTGAACTGTGTTAGCCCACTTAGCCTTCACAGCAGCAGCCCTGAAGTCAAGGATTCCCCCACCCACCCAATAAAAATGAAAGCTTGTTACACCAAGATTTTTTTTGCCTTATTTCTTTGAACACTGCATTTACTGCATGTTCTGCTCTTTTTTCTGTCCATCAGATTGAAGTGTTTTTTTTGTTTGTTTTTTTTATTGATGAAAGTATGGTATCCACTATGGATACTCGCGGGAACTGCCGCAGTATCTTGTGGCGTGGAACTTGTTTTCAGTGTTGCATGCAGAAGCAGGCTGGAAACCAGCACACTGCAGGCGGGAATGGGCCGAAGCATGCGTAAAGAGAAGCCCACAAATTACTGAATACGCTAAATTAAGTAGTATGATCACTAAATCATGTATATAAACAATATAAAATGATAACATAAAAATATATGAAGTCTTAAGAGTTGTGAAGCAACTGATCACATGAACAACACGCAAATGCTTGTATCTTGCAGAGACGGTGGAGCCTTCAGTCCGACAACAACAGCTACTGAGCCCAGCAACACACCAAAAATAACCATTCAGTGGTTTAATTGCATTTACTGGGAATAAGCGTCGTATGGTGAAGTTACCTGATGGCCATGACTGCGGTTTTATTTCAGCAGAGAATAATGTATTTGTGAGTAGACTATATCAGATATTGGATTTCAGTTTGCCTTGACAGAACTGGAAGCGGGCCAAAACGTTGTGGTTGTGGGTGGGGGCGGGACAAATAATTCAGATTTTCTGTTTTCTAGTTGATGGTCCCTTTGTATTTTTTTCATCCTCTCAATTAAGGGCAAATTCAAATTCCAATTAAAGACAATTAAGAGTGAGTCTGAGTTATGTCTGGAGTCAAATAAGGGCGAATTCGAGTCATGTCCGGAAGTCAGTTAAGGGCGAGTCCGAGTTGTGTCCGCAGTCAATTAAGGGCGAGTCTGAGTCTTGACCGCAGTCAATTAAGGGTGAGCCTGAGTGAAGTCATGATTCAGTCAACATATGACTCGAGTCAGAGTTGCTGATTATGTCTATGTCTATTTATATGTCTGACGTAGACATATGAACAGAGATAATTTTCGATTGGTCTGGAGAAGTAGTGTATGTAAAGCTCATAATATGTATGTATGTATGTAACTACAAGTAGTTGAATTCTGGTTTCTGGCAGTTTTTTCCCTGATTGGTTGCTGGATTGATAAGGGTGGTGGAGGCTTGTACAGTAGACTTTGTTAAGGCCCTGGAGGGAGAGAGGAGGGTGAAGAGGGCGCCTACTGGTGCTCCACTGTGCCAGTGTGTGACTGCTGTGTCATCCCATCACACACACATCAGACGACAGATGGGAGGAGTAGTGCTGTGTGTGTGTGTTGGGGTTATGTTAGGAACAGATGGGAGGAAAGGAGAGTTTCTCTTCATTTCAGGAGGGGAATGAATGAATGGATAGAGCAGATGAAAAGGCTTTGTGTGTCTTCTTTTTGTCTCTCCTGTATTTCTTTCTCTTATTCATTAGCTCACCCTCACCTGCTTCTTTCCAATATCCCATTGCCACCCCTGGAGACTGTGCACACACACACACACGCGCACACACGTGCAGTGAATTGCTTGCCTCTGTTCTCCTCTAGCCAGGTCCTTGATGGCTCTGGCTGCTCAAATGCTCGGATGATTAATGGCTTCAGAAGTCTGAAGGCGCTTCCTCGCGCAGAGTTATTTTCTTCCTGTGCTGCCTTTGCCTACTACCCCCCAACCCCCATTCCACTTTGTCCTCCATCTCTCTGCAAGACACTACGACTCCACGACTCCCCACCCCACCCTCCCCCCAAAAAAACTCCTCAAATGGCAGTGCCGGCATGGGTTGTCTTAGCCTCTCTTGAATGTCTCTGGGTCCAGGCTACCTCTTTGTCACTCTAGCAGCTGCTGTATTGTCCCTGGGAGAAATGCATATGGCACATGGACTGGTTGCAAGGCTTAAACTGTGTGTGCGCATGCATGTGTGTGTGTTTGTGTTTAAAAATAAATAAATAAATAAATAAATAACTTTTTTTTATTGTATGTGAAATGAGAAACTGTATCTATTAATGGGCACATTTGACCAAACGTGGAGATTAGTGCTGAACTAAAATTTAGTACCATTATATTTTACAAATGTAACACTATATGACAAGTGATGTATACCTTTACTAATTTAAAGTTAATGAACCCATGCTTACAGAGTACCAATGCAGAGGTATGGTCTACAAACTTTGTTTTCTCGTCTCAAAATTATTAATGAAATAATATGGAAATTGTGGGCCAATGCCGATATGGGATAGTTTTCTTGTGTACATCTGCTGATGCGAACACACAAACATTTATTAAATGTAGAACCGGTTGGCTTAATCTACCTGGATTAGCATTAAAGAGAAATGTAATATTTATTTCAGGAGGGTTTCAAATGCAGTAAAATGGCAGACATTGACGCAAAGTAGCCCAGCATCACCTAAACGCTCTGCTCTCCAGAACTACAATAAATATGTCAGCTGATATCAGTTTGAAAAACTGGTTCAAGCTAAACGTCTGTCCAGTGTTGATCATTTTTTCAAGCAGTTATGTACCACTTCCCAATATCAATTTGATATCATGCATCCCTACTTAAAATTACACAAGTTAACTTTGCAGAGCGTATTTATATCAGTGTGGCGACAGAGATAGGGCTGTTTTATGGAACTCTCTACACTTCTAATGCCGAGTTTGCTCCCCTTATCGGATTTTGGACGACTAGTAAGCGTCTTTCTTCTCAAATAGTCAGCTCTGACTTGATCTTTAGCAGCCTAAATATCAGCTGTTATAGTTGACAGATGAGGAGTGTTTGTTGGAGAACTGTGATTAGAAGTGTTTTGAAGTGGCCTAGAGATGGCATTAGCAGTAAAAAGAGGTCATTTAGGGTTGAGGTGAAAGGTCGGGGTCTCCTCCCCTCCAGCAGAGGCTTTTGCCCAGGTGTGGTAATGTAATTAGGAATACCCAGCTACAGGGGTATTGGTTTGGAGGGATGGGATCTGTTGCGCACAGTGTCTATTGCTATATATAATAATGTTTGCCTCTAGTTGTGCGTAAATGTGAGAGAAAGGCTGGTTGGGGTTTATTTGAGGAATAGCCAGATGCAGGACACAAAAGACTTCTTTCCCTCTAGATTGTATCTGGTGGTGAAACACCAGCCTGGCTGTAATTCCCCATCCTCTTTGGTTATCAGCCAGCAAAAAAAAAAAAAATCAAAACAAAAAAAAAAACAGTGGGGGACAAACACCCGCCTTTTATTGTCTGAGTAGGTGGTAATTGCTCATTATGTGTGAATGTCTCCTTTTTTAGTGTAGGTGACATTTGCGAAAAAGGTGGATTTGTTGTGGGTCCTCTTTTCAAAGAGACAAAATCGGATCAGTTTCACAGAATTAGGTCCAGTTCCACTTTTGATTTATGTAATTATTAAGTAGTAGTATTGCTCAGCAATATTTCTTAATCCTGTCTTGAGTTGAACCGAGGTTGGCTTGTTGTTGTGACCCTGCCAGTAAGTACAGGCACTTACAGTATAGAGGATTATCTGTTTAGCGCGATTAAATTCGTAGTCCCCCAGGGTACCACTTGTTCAGTTTGGTGGCTCTTATTCTCATGGACGCCTCTGTTGCTAATTACACCAGCATGTTCTTTGGCTCTCACGCTGCAGTTTGGTGGTCACTGCGGTAGTTCTTAGTCCTTCCCTCCCTCCCTCCCTCTCTGGCGGCATATTCCCTCTTCCGTCCTGGCGTTTGGGTGAGGTGCTGTGTGACAGGGTGGTCCTGTACACCCCGAGTGAACCGCGCCATCATGAGAGTGAGGAGAATTAGCCGTGTCATGATGATGTGCGAAGTGTTTGTGTAGACAGATGGCAGCTTGATTACGAGGGGGAGGTGACAAGAGCTGTCTTCTGGGAGAGGCAGTCAGTCTTTCCCTGTCTCTCTGTCTCACTCCCCATCTCTCTCTCTCTCTCTCTCTGAGACGAACACATCAGTCTATAATTCAAACTATGATCATCTGTAGCGACATGGCTGAAGTTGCTCTGATTTAATCACTCACTGTCTGCACACGAAGCCTTCGATGACATGGATAGAGTGTCCGCACCCTGGACTGGCATAATTTGACACGGGCACTATCGCTGTTTGTTTACCACCACAGCTTTAGAGTGTTGTAACCTTGGTTCACCGCTGCATACGTCCAGCGTGGCCGAAAGTTGCTCTTGTGGGCACGTTGACAGTGTTTGTTTTGTATAATGTTCTTTGAGCCCAGGGTGCCATGCAAATTGGGTGTCCAATGAAAATTTACTGAGGTTTCGTCATGAATAAGGAACTGCCTTGTGCCTTGTCCTCTAATTCACCCTCCTACTGATCTCCTCCCTTTCTAGGTTCTCTCTCTCTCTCTCTCTCTCTCTCTCTCTCTCTCTCTATCTCTCTCTCTCTTTTTCTGAATATATTAGGTTTTTTTTTCCTCTGGCCTCCATACTGGGAAAAAAAAGCCACAGCGTGGCTGCCTTTTGTGCCGCTGTAGTCTAGACGTGTATGTGAATGGGCGCAAAGCGGCTGTAGATAAGGGAGCCCTTGGTTTGGTGGGGGAGGCCTGCCGACCAGGCTGAAAGGAATTGGGGAGGGGGAGGGGAGGGCAAAATGGTAGTAGGGAAAGGAGGGGGGTGGGGAGCTGAAGGTGTGTGTGTGTGTGTGTGTGTGTGTGTGTGTGTGTGTGTGTGTGTGTGTGTGTGTGTGTGGTGTTTGGACAGGGAGAGCGGGAGAGAGACAGGCAGGCAAGAAGGGAGGGAGGGCGGGCGGAGAGACCTCAAGCTATTGATGGGCGAAGAGCAGGGAGGGGTTGAGCGAGAGAGAGAGTGTGTGCGAGCGCCAGAGAGAGAGAGAGAGAGAGCGAGCGAGCGAGCAGAGGGAGGGGTGTATGTGTGGGCTGAGTCTGTTCTGAATGAGGAAGCGGCAGAGCCATTTTCACCGTTGAGTAAGAGCACGCTGCTTCATGTGTACGTGAGAGAGGGAGAGCGAGAGAAAAAGAAACTGCTTCTTCTGGATTTTTTTGAAACAAATCCTCAGCTGACGTGTATTCCTCTCCCCCTCTCTGTCTTCATCGGGTGTTATTTTTTTTGAGCAAACGAAGCCTTGGTTAGGGGACACAATGGGGCAAAGTGCCTGTGGCAACTGGGCCGTTGTGCTCCTGAGAGGGGGAGGGGGTAGAGAGCAGACCGGCGCACAGAGCTAACGCAGCTAGCCGGCCGCAGGCCCCTTCTGCCGCTCTCTCTCTCCTTTCCTCTCTAGCTCTTTCTCACTGAAGCTACTCGAGCTGTAGGCTCTGTTTTTGGGAGGATTCTCTCAGGACCGAAGGCGTTCGCCCCCTCAGGATTATCGTGGACTTCCTGTGGATTAATATGTATTTGGCACAGTGGATTTTGGGACATGTTCATTGGAGCTGGAGATCTGAAAGCTAGTTCTTCTCATGTTTTGGGAGTAGAGCATTCCACACAAACTTTCTGCCTTCATTTTTTTTATTATTATTTTTTTGTTCCTTTTTGTCTTTCGGTTTCGTTTTCTGGTGACAGGAACTTATAAATGGATTACAAAATGCATTCCAAGTCTAACGATTTGCTGGATTTTCAGACACTGGATGCGCTTCTGGAAAAAATTGCACATTACTCAGCAGCTGTAAAAAGGTAACTTTTCTAACCAGTTCTTTTCACTTCTTAACTCCTGTTTTACTGCCTTCACAAATCTTGTTCCAAATGGTTTGGTTATGGAACTGTGCTTTTACAGCTCAAACACTGGTTCAGTATCCTTTGGCCTTTGTCACTCTGATAAACAACAATCAGTTGTTGCCGCTTTATCCTCTTCATATTATATTTGCCTTAGTAGTAGTTTTAAATGGAAAGATTTCCAAACAGTGTTGTAAGAGTGTCATTGTTAGGAAAAAAAGCTAAAAAGCCCCGAATAGGCACCCTCCCAGTGAGAGAGGGGGTGTGTGACTAAGCCTGGGGGAGGGGGGTGCTTTCAGAGGAAGAAGGGGGTGGCGTATTTGTTGTGAGAGCAGGCAAGGCTTTTGGAAACCTGTCCACGCTCACCCGGCTTGAATAGAGTAGCCACTGAGAGAGTCAGCTTTCCTTACTGGTTGGCCTTACTTACTTAATTTTATTCCTCGTAGTTCTGTTAGATCTCTCTCGCTTGTTTTGATACGTGTCATACATGAAGTACAGACTGTAACTTGCACACCATAATAGTCTCCTGTTTTGTTTTCCCATGACCTGAGTCAGTCATGTTTGGTAAACAATAAGCCCATAGACCGAAAGAAATGAACAGCGGAAAAACCACATGCATGACAACAGAGAACTTGGAACCTTGTTCACTGGCTCTAATGTAGGGTCTTATGTTTTGATACTGAGAGCTTTTGTCAGGAAAAAACCCACAGAGATGGCCCACAGTCTTTGACATTTTTCCCCAGCAGAACATTGAAGTATGAAGTTAGTAGGCCTGTAGGTCAAATAAGTTCAGAAAGAGCCTTGTGAATGAGAATTGAAGGCCCAGCGTGGCTTTGTAATATATATAAAAATACACATTGTGGCTTATTTTTGCTTGGGACTTGCACGAGTGTTGGACTGAGTGGAGGCATGTGGAACAGTTGCAGTCAGATGGTGGAAAAAGTTCTTTACATAGCGGCACATAGTGCACATGCCATGCTGGTTCTGCTGCCTGCTTGACTATAGGGAGCGTTTGCAGGGCTTCTGATCACTTAAAGTTTATCACTTTTTCACTTTGGTTTCTCTTTATATATGTGTTTTATTGTTGTTGTGTTTTTTTTTGTTTTGTTTTTTTTTTTCAGATCAAATCAGTGAAACGAAACTGCTGATATGTACGCTCTGTTTACGTCAGCGTCCTGTCAAGTTGGAAAACGAATTCCACCCAAATCTGTGTTCAATGTTTTTCAGTGTCGGAAACAAATTCATCATTCTCCAGAGTGAACTCTAATATGATGTGTGTAGTGGAATTTACTCTGTAGAGTTGGCAGAAGAGGAGCCGGCAGGGGCCGAGCTCAGCAGATGAAGTCCCTGGAGGAGTGATGTCGAGACAGGAGTGTGAAACAGGAGAGGGAGAGATGGATGAGGGCTGTGGGAGGGGTGCTCCGAGCCTCGTCAGTGCAGCTGCATTTATTATTCATGTATATGCTTTCAAGCAAATAACCAGCCGACCTTGTCCTTTACCAGGACCTGTATAGTGTGAGTGTGCATGTTGGTTGAAAGGGGGTGGGGGGTGGAGGTGGAGGTTCTTTTTGTCCTCTGGAAGTCCCCGAAAACATGAATGATTAATGATTAATTGTTTACTTTCATGAGACACAACCATTTTGTAGACTTTTTTCTTTTTTTAACGTCACACTTTTCTTTTTATGTTGCTGTAGTTGGGCTTGGTCTGCTTGCAGAACCAGATTTCCTGGTTTGTAGTTCAGGCTCACGTTGGCTAAAGCCACTTCCTCCCGCACCAACATTCCACAGACGTTTGTAATGATTTATGCTGGTGTCAAAGGTCAACTGTTATTCCAGAGAGAGTTGGTGCAAAGGAAATGCAATGGGAGGAAGCCTTAAGGCCTTTTTTGAACTCCACTTCTAGCTTTATGTCTTAAAAACTAGCTGTTTTTCCCACAAATGTTGGAGAAGTTGTAGATAACAGCAGTAGATCTCATAGCATCTTTGGGTGTAGTGTTATATTCTCAGCGTAATATAATTTAGGTCCTGCCACGTTGACCTTGTTTGGCTTTTCTGGTCACTCGAGCATTTAAGTGAGCTTGTTTAAAGTGGTTAATACTGCACTGCCTGCTTAGCCAGTTTAAAATTAAAATGTGAGACTTCATGCACTTTTTTTCACTTGTCTTAGATTTATTGCATAGAATAATACATTTATTCCTTGGTTATTTGGAAATATAACATTTATGCAGAGCAGTACATAACTGTATGTGGAGAAGAGAAAAATTGCAGTGTGATCCTGGCTATGAATGAAAAAAGGCCGTTCATTAACTCCATTTTAGTCAACAAACCATGCAATATTTTCTTCAGTTATGAGGTTGATTACTTTCCCTGCTAAACTAGATATGCTGTAGGTCATTGTTTGCATAACGTCACTGTCTATGAACTTTTGTTATGAGTGCAAATAATATTGGGCTTACTTTCTGCCTATGAAAGTGGGTGAAAGTTTTGTATTAGTTTGGGCATCATAAATTTTGGCATCAAAAATGGTTTCCGTGATACAGAAATAATCTCACAGTTTTTGACACATCAGAGTTTAAGCAGTTTTTAGTGTCTGTCTCGGCCAGAGCTGACCAAAGTGTGGCACGTGAGGATGTTTGATTTGGCCCACCAGAAAGTTAAACTAATGCCACCATGTGAGAGCAAACATATTTTCACACTATATGTAGCATTCATTTTTTATTCTGCTTTTTAAAACATTTTTGATAGTGTAATATTATGAAATACATTTATCAAAACTTTATTTTAAACATAACTACATTCTTTATTTGTATTGTGTTTGTTTTGGGCCGAGAGCCAGAACATTTGGGCACCCCTGGTCTAGGTCAGCTTCATTAAAGATGCACTTACTGAGTTTTGAGAGTTTTCAGCCATTTCTTTTTACGTGCATGTGCCACATAAAATAGGATAAAAATGTTTACAACTTTAGGCCTGTACAAAAAGTGAGTGGACATTTCCAGCACAGAGGAGAAAGCTGCCGCAAATATTCACTCAGAGACCACTCCAAACCCAGCAGCGGTCAGCAGCCTCGGTCAGTATTTGCAGAGTTGTTCTCCAATAACCGATTCGCCATGTTTGTTATAGTTTTGCTCGCACCTCACTCTCTGAGAGTTTTCTTGCATTCTCATTGGCTGCTGCTCATCACTACTTCTACTGCTTGTTGTACAGGTCCTCGCACTACAAGATTCATTGCTAAGAATTTCGGACATGCTTGAAAATATCGGGGCATCTGTGACAGAACACAGGCTGGGAAAATCCTGTCCTTTAAACAGGCTGTCATCATGACTGCATGTGACTATCCCAGAAATTTTCTCTGAGGTTTAGAAGTAGCCGGTTTCTCTGCTGAGCAGGGCTGTCTGGATACTTTAGCACAGATATTGTATGAGGATACCTACATTTGCGTTATTAACGGTTTAATTTTTAAGACACCTTTATACCCACAGTTGCTTTATGAAAGCAGCATAACATCACTCCAAAGCAAAGGGGTAAGCAAAAAATAAAGAACATCAGCAGGAGAAAGTAAAAATGAAAGTACTGAGAAAAGAGGAAGCGTTTAAGTTGGGTATAGAAGAGTTGACTGGAAGGGACTGTGGGAGTGTTTCATAGTTTAGGGAGCCATGATTCTAGAGAAGCTGCCCTTAGGGGTGGACAGTCTAGTGACCTGGTAGTACAGGCAGAGGAATATGGCTGAAGGACTGTAACCTGCATGTGTAAAGATGGCCACCTGTAGCTGATAAAGAATTGGGAGGATGTGAGTATTTCTTAGAATAACCAGAATTCTGGTCAGATTTTGATTATATATACATATAAATGTGAGTCCCTCGTTTAATAATACTAGTCCTATAGTTCAGAATATGATGTCATTGTTTTGGTAGCATTCCTTATGAGAAACAGGAGTTGTTACCATGTATGAAAGTGAGAGATAGCAGAATGCAGGATACCGAAAGGTCCCTCCATTTCTGAGTTTCACTGTATGCGTGTGTGTAGGCACGTGGAGCAAACTCGGGTTGACGCTCACATTGCGTTGGTGTGTTCCCTCAGTAGACGTCTGGTTCCAATGTTTATTTTGGATTAAAGGTCATTTTCGAGGAATCTCCTTAAATCAACATCAAAGTTTTAAACCTCTGAGAAAGATTGAGAAATCTATAAGTGCACAGCTAGTCAGCTGTGTAGTAAACGTGGGTGAGCATACAATCAGTTTGTTCCACTTCAAAAATATTTGGAGTTATGAAAATATTTTGCCATAGTTGGGTTTAAAGATGCTGCCTGACTCTTCCCTTGTGTTCTAGTACAGCTGAGGGAACTGATGATGAGTTTCCTTGCTGAAGGGCATGTAAACTCAGTATTGTTATTGGGCTTTTAAAAGCAGAAGATGTTGGTTCTAGTATTGGAGAGAAAAAAAAATCAGGTCAGATTCTATAACAAATCTGGGAATTATTTTATTTGACATGTTTGTCATGTGTAAGTATTACACTGTAGTTATTTCCTTAATTAATTTCTTTGTTTTTAGGGCCAAATGGTCAAAAAGACTTTCAGAAGAAGGAAAATCACTGAAAATGCTGACTGAAAATAACACATTATTTAGACCTATGAGTGTTAAAATCAAAGAATTTGCAAATAATTTTAGTGGTGAAGAAAAATGCCGTTTATTCCTTTCACGCTCCTGTACTGAACAGATGCGTTTAAATAGTTTGAGCCTTAGCAGAGTGAGGTCAGCAGCGTGGAACTAGTAGTGGGCAATATGGCCAAAAATTTATATCATGCTATATTTAAGATTACTGACTGTTTTGGGAGATAACACAGTGCAGTGTATTAATATATGTATGGTTTTCCAATACAAAATTTTGGATTCTTAAGCAAACCGGTCTTGTAGATCAACAATGCCATATTATTCTGTGATGTCCCTTCACTTTTAATAAGAAACA